AACCATGCAGAGATTCTCTTATTTAATTTTCTTTTTGAGCTTTGAAAACAGCAAAATTTACACCAACTTTGATTTTCACACCACACAACTGATGTTTTTTTGAACAAAACCCACTTTGGAAAACCAGAGTATTGAAATCTCATTAATTCTTCCATTACTTGCCTGTAGTGGTGCTCAGAGTACTTCCCACTCAAAAGAAAGTCCCTGGTGGGACACATTATCCAGTCAACTAGAGCTGGATTCTAGTCAGCTCTCAGGTGCACAGCATAAGTGACCGCACGTAAATTACTCTTCTATTTTCCGTCCAATTCAACCCAATGGTGCAAGTCCAGGCAAACACTGACCACATCAATGCAAATACTATCCCCACTATTCAACATAAAGAGCGAGATATCATCTCATAAATTATAGAAATTAGTCAAGTTTAACTGACTGTAATTGGGAATTATGCTTGAATGCATTATACGGGATGTGCTATTAATTCCTATCTAAAGAGCAGAGATACTATGAGTAGACTACTTCAATTTTGGGGCAACAAATCATCCCGTACTGTTGCAGCTGAATTCTTTTGAGGATGTAAGCAAACGAGGGCATAAAAGCTACCCATCCCAATGGATATAATTTACTTGGGATTTTCAGAAGGGATTTGATAAAGTTTCATATGTGAGACTTCTAAAAGGAAGATGAAAGCTGAGCTGGTTGAATAGCCCAGAACTGGCTGAGGAAAAGAAAGCAAATGATGACAGACAGAATTTTTNCTTAAAAAAACACACCATCTGTGGGCATCGACTGGCAGAATTCTGTTCTGCATCTCCTGCTGCTCGCACTCTTCAGAAACAATTGGGAGTAGAGCACTGCTGGTGACGTTGTACGTTTTGCTCACCGTGCCAAGCTATGCAGGCAGGTGAGTAATACGATCAATAGCTTTGAAATCTGCGCTAATTAAACAGATGGGCCCAAGAGGAGGCAATGGATTCTAACACAGATAACGAAGAGGTAATTCACATTAAACAACAGCAAACGTGTGCTCAAAAAAGGAGCAAAGAGAATTTGGGTGCGATTACTATTTCTCAGGAGAACAACAACGTGTGCCCTTCACGTGGGGTAGCGTCCCAGAGCGCTTGACAGTGACGGAGTCTGACCCCGAGCCAAGGGGGAGAGGGAGAAGGGGAGGTGACCGTAGGCACGGTCGAGAAGGAAGGTCTTTAGGTAGGATTTGAAAGTGGGGAGGGAAGGGGCAAGGCGGAGGAATTGAGGGACAGAGTTCCTGAAGAGAAACTGCTGTAAAGAAAGATAATCAAATACCAGTCTATCTTAAGAGCAGTGACAAGTTAGAATACATAAAAGTGAGATTACCAGTGAGGTTTAAGTTTGGGATATTAGGAGTGTGAAACAGGACACGTGATTTATTAACTAACGCCACACGGAAACGTTTCATCAAACCATTCGATATTAATAGGCTGGCTGGCAGGCGGGTGTGAGCACGCTCCCGAACATGAGCATAATAATTCAGTCAAAGCTTTCTCCGGTGCCCGTTAGTATTACCAAAGGTGCAATGGGGAGGGTGGGGGGAGGAAAAAGAACTACTCACGTTTGCTTTAACCATTTCCACATATACTGCTTCCACCAACGTGAGTGTAATTGCATCTAAACCATCTGCTGACCTTCCCTGTTCTGATTCCGAATCCGTGCCAACAACCTTATGGTAAACACATTACATTTAGGCCTATTTAAATCCTGTAGGACGTATATGTGTAGGATGTACTTGGGGGGTAATAATCCCTTCTCACTTGGGTCTGTGCAATGACTGAGATCGTTTAGAACATTTCCTTTTCCATTTAAAAAAAAAAGCACAACAAATTCACACTTAGAAAACAAGAATTTTACAGAAGTATTTTCTCTCAGGAGCTCGTGGTAACTGCATCTGGCAAATAGTGCACTTCAAAGAGTATGCGTTCACCTGAGCACTCAAGTCAACATCAGCGAGAGTGCTGTGAAAGGTACACAGGTACCAAGCTCACACTCAGTGCCCAGACAAAATGTCTCAAAGGGCAAATTAATACAATTGAACGAATTAAATCCAGCAGCTTGGAACGTAGGAATGTACAGGAGAGGTCCACCTGGCCTGTTCCAAGGTAAGGAAAGGTTTTTTTTAAAAAAATTAATAATCCTGCCCCATTCTCTCACTCCCCCCGCTCTATTGTTGATTAGTTATCCAATTTGTGGAGTCCTGTAGCCCAGTGGTTAGAGCATTCGCTTTGCAAGTGAGAGACCTGAGTTCAATCCCCGGGGGGTCAGGGCCAAACCTCGGGCAAGTTTCCTTACTCCACACAGAGCCTAATAATAATCCCTCCAAAACCCAAAACAATAATAAATTGGTCATTTTCAATCTACGACTGGTTGTGGGATATTGCTGTGCGCAATTGGCTGCCGCGTTCGCCCACAAATATACAGTCAATTCACTTTACAGTACGTTCTGTGAAGCGCTTGGGGACGTCTCGAAGACGCAAAAAGCGCTATATCAAATGGAAGGATTATTATTATTATTATTATAATTCCGTCTAGGCCTGTCTTTGACATTATCTGCCTCCACGGCTAGTTTAATTCCACGCTCCCCACATTCTCTGTATAAAATAATTCAATCTGAACCATCTGTTTTAGAAACATAAACAGGAGGAGGCCATTCAGCCTCGAGCGTGTTCTGCCATTCTATGAGATCATGGCTGATCTGTACCTCAACTGCAATTACCCGCCCTTACCCTGTATCCCTTGATACCCTGACCTGACAAATATCTCTCCATCTCAGTCTTTTCCTTTCCTTTCTGAGCTGGTCCCCTCATTACTGAGCTTTTCGTTCAGTTGCTTGTTGTTTTAACCCTTACGTTAACTACATATTAGTGTTCCGTTTCCCTTAGGCCCTTTCGGATCTCGATAAAGACCCCGAGCCTTCTCCCCTTCAGTGAGGCTCTGTCACGTGTCCTTTGATGAGGTTGAACTCTTCCTATCCCGGTGGGAAGACGTTCAGAGTGTTAAACCCGCATCGAGATAAGAGAGCCGCACGGTTTGCACGACAGCACTCCGTAGGTCAAGAGGTAAATCCAAGTTTCTTTTCCTTCAACCCTCCCCACCTCCCTGCCTGCCTGCCCACCCAATGCCCCCGTGATGTATTTAGGGTTGATGTCAGCTCATGCACTGCCTGTCAGCGCTTCCAGCACAGCCAATGGGTGAAGTATACATGAACAACTTGCATTTAAATAGCGCCCCTATATAGGGTTAGCGTTCCAGAGGGTTTAACCCTGTGGTGGGGGGGGGAAATGGGGAGGGAGGTAGGGAGGGAGGGAAGGCAGACCGAACACCACAAGAAATCTCTGCACATACTAAGTTGCTTTTATTAATCCAGAACTGCATGCTACAGATACTGTACAGCATGAACATTGATTCATTACAAAAAATGGTTTTCAGAGCAATAAAAATGAAAAGGGTTGGAGAGGGGGAGGGGGGGGTGGAGAAGGGGGGTGGGTGGTTGGTTGGTGGGGTGGAGGGAGGGGGGGGGGGGAGAGGGGGGGATAGGGGAAGAAAAAAAAAGAGCAAAAAACCGAACATGAACATCACAGTTGTTAGGAAACATTGAGAAGAGTATTCACAAAAGGTATTAAGAGTCTCAGTAAAATGGAAAATAAAAGACAGCTATACAACTGTTTCATTTCTACGACAATGGGCACTGAATGGATGAACTTTTTCATCAGTTGTATACAGGCTTTGCAACATCAACATGCCTAGTTTAAAATTTACTACATACCTACCGAAAAGTAGTGTGTACAGAAAAAAGTGGCAGTTTCATATTTTTTTTGAGTGATTTCCCCAACGCACAGAAAATTTGGCCCTTGTGGGTTTCGTACTTTCTTTTTTCTCTTTTAAAAACCCTTCGACGCTTTACTTTTTAGGTGATTTTATTTTGGATGATTTGCCAAATAGCTACCAAACACGTCTGTTATAGCTTCAACTAGTCAGCGACATTAAAACTACGTACGTACCTATGTTACCTCACAGCTAAAAATAAAAAGAACCGAAAATACAGCAAAAATGGGGAGTGGGGAGGGGGGAGAGAGAGAGAGAGAGTGAGGGTGGAAGAGAGCGAAAGAGGAAAAAGAGCTAGAAAGGAAGAAAATGCAAGGGAGGAGAGATAAATAGGGAGCAAAGGAGAACCAGAGAGAGAGAAAACGAGCGGGGGAAACTGGGAAGAGCGCGAGAGGGAATGAGAGAGGCAATAACCTTTAAAGTTTGGCACAGAATACATAACACAGGATACAGTTTAAACAACTGCGTGGCAGGTGGTTAGGAGGGGGTGTTAGTTTATTTGTGCTATTCCCCCCAACAAAACAGAAGTTGCCCCCTCCCTCCCTCCCTCCCTCCCTCTCCAAACTCGTTCAAGTTTATTTTCGTACAATGGCTTTTTCTCTCTCTCTCTCTCTCTCTCTCTCAGCAATTGCGTGCGGGCTCCGGGAGTTTAAGACGCCACTGCGTTCATCCATTTGGCAACAGTCATGTATCACAACGGAGGAAAAGAACATGTTAAAAAACCTCGGTACAAATGAATCGTTTCCATATATAAGATGCTTACACACTAAGCAAAAAAAAAAAGAGAAAAGAAAAACTTTATACATTGTTTTTTTTGGAAGAAACGAAAAATATTTTAAAAGGGACAACATACATGATACAACAAGCATCTCTAAAGCAATAAATACTACAGGTCCTATAGCGCTGTCATTTTATTTCTTGCAACCCTCCCTCCCCCCCCCCCCCCCACCCCCCACCTCCCCTCCCTCCCCGACCCACCCCAAAATAAACAACGCCATGGAACAATGCATATTAACACAGTTTTCCCCATTATTTCTGTACATTTAAACAATAACACACAACATCACAAAAGTTGTTCCACACAATTAACAGGTGGCACTGCATTCATTGTGCCCTGAAAGATAAAACGGGACGTAAAATGATTGGTTCGCAAGCTCTTATTTAATACAAATAATACAGCGTAGCCAACTCCCTCCACAAGGGCTTCTTTGAATCTGATATCAGTCTCTTACTCATAAAGAATCCACCTAGTAAGAACCACATGACAGTGATGAACACAACAAGGCTTTTTTTTTTTGCAACAGTTGACAAGAGGTTGGTAGGGATCTCTCAAGGCTTGTCCTACATATTCAAAGAGGACCTTGAAATAACGATGGGTCAAATATTGACCAATGCACTCCATAACATCTACTAACATGTAGCCATATGGCACAAAGAAAATAAAACAAAGGAAAAACACCAGCAACTAAAGCTAAAGGCTATCCTAACGACTTGGTGACGAGTGAAAGTGGCTGGGATTGCGTCTCTTGCAAAGCACCTCGGGAATGGACGACAGACTGCAAGGATGAGGTTGAAGGTAGCGTCTGCGACGAGGACGTGGACTGGTGCGAGGAGGTGACGGACTGGTGGTCTAACGCCCCGTTCTGGCAACTAACCGCGGACGCTGCACTGGACTTGAGCGCCAAGTTTGTCGACAGGGCCGAGGAAGAGGAAGGCGACGCAAAGTGGGCCAGAGGATCGGGCTTCATTGTGAGTGACAGAGGTTGCATTTGTTCAGTCTGCGGATCAGAGTCTGCTGTAGAAGGGCTTAACATGGAAGGAGAAGGGGGAGGAGAATCTAATAGGCTTCCATCTGAAGAGGGTGGGCTGGCGCAGCTGCCTTCACCTTGTATGTAGCGAATGCACTTTTTTTTTCTCCTAGAAACAGGGAAAGATTTATCTGTAAATAAAGGGCAAAAAGACTAATGGAATGGGTTATTTGAACAAACGAGACTAATCATAATTCAGCCAATACACCGTGACGCACCAAACATTTTTTTTTAAAAAAAAACGCGATTTAAAAATGCAAGGTTCTGCATTATTCCAAATCGGGATTTTACAAACCTGATTTTAAAACGCTAACAAGAACCATCCCCATCCCCAACCCGCACCAGCAACCAACCCCCCACCCACCCGCCACCGAGCCTCCTGAAATACTGACCCAAATACTGACGAGTATTAGGTTTTTTTTTTAAAATCTGTTAAGAACCACACCAAATTGAGCACGACTGGAGAAGACATCGAGAGAGAGAAAAAAAAAGAGTGGAAGAAAGAAAAGAATAAGAGTCCAATGGAATTTGGGAGTGTAGCAGATGGGGGGGGTGGGGGTGGTGGTGGATGGGTCGGGGGACGAGAACACAGAATAACTGGTTATATGGCCTGCAGGCAGTGGCTGATTCTTTAAATGGTCTGTAATGGAAAATGAAAGTCAATCAAATTTTGGTCATGAAAAAAAAAGTTCACATTTCATTCACAGGTTTCCTGTAAGGTGTCATTTTCACGTCAGCTATCTGCGAGAGGAAAGAAGGCGGGTTTTTGCTGTATGATGTATCTCGTCATTCCCCAGAACAGTTTGGGCAAAAGATTTCAAACTCTTAGAAGAAAGAGCCTTCCTTTGCAAACCCAAGGCGATTCAAGCAAAAAAAAAAAATAAAATAAGTTCAAGCACCAAATAAAACTTGCAAACACCACACACGTAACTGACTTATTAGCTGGCCGTTTTACCATTTCCGTCACCGGATGTACAGAACCAAACTAAATCGGTGCTCAGTGACAATTTTATTCGGTCCTAGGTTTTCGCGTGCGTGCGTGCGTGCGTGCGCACGAAAGGGGAATGGAGAATTAATGCACCTCCAAAAGGTTCCCATCGTTCCAAATGACACGCCTATTCGCCTATTGCCCCCCACCCCCACCACCAACCCCCACCTCCCCGCCCCCCCTCCTCCCCCCCCACCCCGAGTTAGATCTTCGTGCCCCGTTTAAACATCTCGCCAAATGTATTCAGGGCTCTGACGGTGAGACGCGCTGAGATAGTTTCAGAGTTCAAGCCACATAAGCCTGCCAGGTCAAAAGCATGCTGCATTGTATGAATTGTATCCATGCAGTTAAACTGAAAGTTTGCCAAGACAAAAGCGTAGTGTAAAAGGGACAGAAACATGCAAGTGAAGCAGCACATCATGCCATATTAGAACAAAGCTCGAGGTGAAAGGAACAATTTGGTGGGCTCAAAACAGAACAAACGTAACACTGACAACCAGGTAATTGCGAAATAAATAGGGGCTTTTTCCTCGACTGACCCAGTTCAGAATCATTACGAGTCAATTGCTGGTCATGTACAAATCCATCTTTATTTAGCAGAACACCCTGAACGGTCGAGGGTAAATGTTCCCGGGGAAGGAGCTAAGTTATCCTTCTGGAAGCTACATTTCAGCATTTCTGAGGATGGAAACGTGTGCTTAGGAAATAAAATGCAGCTCCCAGAAAGCGTCGTTGCTTGGAAAAAAAATGTAAATAAATTTAAACACGCTCTCTCTCTCTCTCTCTCTTTCTCTCTCTGTCTCTCGCTCGCTCGCTCTCACGCATTCACACTCACGTGTTGTGTCAGACACAAACTGAACCTGAACAAATGTCTGTCTGGAGGTCTTCTGCATCGGTATAACACATTTGTAAATTGGGCCGAATGTTTTGTTGGGACACTTGTTTTTGGGGGGGAAAAGCTTTTAAAAAAAAAAGAAACGTTGATCTCGGGCATACTCACAGCGTTGTAAACTTTAAATTAAATACTTGCAAATCCTCATTAAATGAAAGCAGTTGTGGAACGAAAAAGTTCACAAAAAAAAATCAAACTATTAGTCCCATTAAAATGATTGGCAACAGGAAATCAAGTCTGATGGAACCTCCAGCCTCAGCGAGAAACTTCAAAGTTAAATGAGGGAAAACTTCTCACTTCAAGAGCTTTCGCCCACCAACAACCCAGTTTTAAAATGTATTATTATATTCCTCTTCTTCACCAGCCTGCGCCACAAACTTTCCCCAGCAAAACAGGGTCGGGTTGGAGAGACAAGCGGCTCACTCTGTCGCCCCCCACACCCCCTCGACAACTTCCCCCAGTGTCGGTGGATGAACCTTCATCCCCCACACCCCTGCGATCTGCAATTCTTTTCTCCAAATCCCTTTGCACCTCCCCCTCCTACACCTTTCCATCCTCCCTCTCGTCACCTGTCTCAAACTTTCTCTCCCGCCCACTCCCCCATTCTGTGTTCCCCACTTTTGTTGAAAAGTGCCTCAAGACCTTTCATTGTGAAAGCCCCTGGGAAGAACATTTCTCTATCTCCGTGGAACGAAGATTGGAAACCACCCCCAAAGGCCCCCTCTCTTGTCTCAGGCTAATTTTAATCTCATCTGTTTGGTTTGGACACTCTTTAGCACAGGACGGGTTTCCGCATGTGTCAGACACCAGGCTGACCAAAATTTTAAACTACTTTTTAAGGCCTCCCTCCCCTCACAACCCCCCCCCACCCCAACCCAACCCCAATACACACGATTCTGAAGCCAAAAGAGTAGTTTAAACAACCTGCTCTGTCTTCCCCTTGCAACCCAGGAAACTCACCGTAGCTATACAAGACTCACTCAAAAATGGCACTAGGCCTTTTCTCCCATCAGTTTTCTTTTCCTACCTATTCGTCGCCTTGAGCTGATCATTGCTTAACTACCTTTACAATCCCCCGCCGTGTGCAGACTGCAAAAAATCATTTTTTTGTGTTTTTTTTTTGCAGAGTAGCCAACTGTCCATTACCCACCCAAACCCCTTCCAAAAAAGTCAAGGAAGTTAAAATAGCAAAAGGGTTGAGCTCTGAAGTAAGTTTCCAATCAATATTCCAATCAAGCTAGTCATTCAGAATGAGGCACTTCCCCCCCCCCCCCCGACCCCCCAAAGTGAGCAGCAATGCTAATTACCCCCTATTATTTTGCAATTTTCCAATTGTAGGATTGCAGAGAAAATCGTGTTGGGATAAACACAACACAGCAAAACACAAAGACTTGTTTGAAAATTGTTAATGGAAAGTTGTTAATCCGCCACTTCTGTTACATTCGAACGTAAATAATGATACTCAAGGAGGACGATTTTGAAACAGGTTTTTTTTTTATAAAGTCCCCTCTCCTCCCCCACCCAAGCCATATCTGTGTGGCAACCTTAAGTACTTCACACCTGAAATGAGAAAGGAGTACCTCTAAATACAAAGCATTTGCAACATTTTTTATTAAAACAAAAAAACGAGACAAACATGCAATTAGTTAATAACTGTATTAAAGGATCTTATCAATAAATGCCAGGACAGGAGATGGTTTACTCCGAATGTCATGCTCTAAACGATATTTTAACGAGTTAATATTTCAAGCATTAGTCGTGTAAGGCATTGCACATTAAAGTCAGATGACAGGGAAAATAAGCAACAACAATAAAAAAAAGGTGAAGGAAAATCTAGCCCTGAAGGAACGATCTCAGAAACAGAAAGGAATGCATTAGAGCCAAGATTTTTAAGAGATAAAAACTAGTTCTAGAAGGTGTTAAACACAAATGTCGCACAGCCTCAAATTTAGTCCTGCTAACGTAAAGGTATTGGCAGCACCGACTGAGAACTCAGTGACGCTGTGGGCTTTCCAAACTTGTGTTGTCCCTGCTGCATCTTACATAATAATTTACTTTTAAATCGAGAGCACGATCAGTAGAGGTGACTCACGGACATTTGAGCAGCAGATGAACAGTTTTATCTCTAACAAACAGCAGCAGAAATGCAGTCACTTTCGATCTGCAGCACATAATCATGACAATGTAATGGAAGTGGCTATTCTCGACACACATGCCAACATCAAGACAGTGCCAGGGAGAAGGGTGCAAAGACGTGCACAGTCTTTCAAAGCCATGACCCTGTAGCAAGGTTCTAACCCCCTGCTTCGGATTACTGAGCTCCGAGAGACTATAGCACGTTCTGAACTGGGGCAGATAGCGGGGTTCCACGTGAGATGAAGGATGTATAACAGAGCAAGCACTACACGAACACAGAAAAACAAAAACGGTTCAGCTTTGAGGAAACAAATACCTACCATGACAACATTCCCACTTCAAAGACTGCATGTGTCAGGACAAAGAAATAAGATTTAACCAAACGCGGTTAACAGGAAAAGGTGTGTATAAAACAAGGACAAAACAACAAAAAAAAACATTCATTCCCTCTAACTAGACAAACCCCGAGAATCAAGAGATTTGGCCGCAGGATTCACTTGAAAAGTTCGACAGTGCTCAGATCGGTGGATAAAGCCTCTGCGGTGGATAAAGCCTCTGACCATTTGATGCCGGAGTTTTGAGTTGGAAGGAAATGATCGTTGGGTTGTATTAAGAGATATTCCAAAACTCCTCACTGGCCTAAACGTTGAACCTACCGCATGCCCGGTTAGGAGCTGAGGGTTGCTAAGCTCAATTGGTAGGTAACGCAATTGTGAAGCTTAAGGAACTCTTTACTGGAGCGCATCAATAATAACGATAATAATAATTCCTGCATTTGCTGCAGCACCTTATCACATCGTTGAGACGTCTCAATGCGCTTCACAGGGTATACTGTAAAGTGAATTGACTGTGTATCTTTTGTGCAAAACACGGCAACCAATTGCGTACAGCAGTGTCCCACAAACAGTTGTGCACTGAGTGACCAAATCGTTTATTAGCATTTTTTAAGACATGCTGGAAACTTATGCTTTGTGCTACCGTGAGACCGGATTTAACTCTGCAGAGGCAACCATATAATATCTTTGGCATCAGAGAAATAACATTCGCTTAAAGTGGATCAGCATTTCACCCTTTAGCTCATTCACAATCATTGACGAGTTGGGGCTTGGGAGACAACATTGGAAAGGCAAGGAAAACACGACAGCATTTAGAACTGTGTTCATCAGAAACCGTCTCAGTTTCCCATCGTAGCAGCATATTTGAGGAACAGATCATTGTTGGCAATTTTCTAAAGCAAAACCTTCCCCTCCTTCGCCCCAACCACCACCCCCTGGTTTCACTGTGCCAATCTCGGACACAAGGTTACAGGCCTATCGCAACCAAGCGGAGGGGGGGGGGGCAAAAAAATATATAGATATATATATATATATAGATGGATAGCTTACAGGAAGACATACTAATGCTGCTAATAAAAAAAAGGCAACAGGTAAATTAAAATAAAAAAAGATCTGCAGTAAGCTATAGAATATTAGCACATTATAGCACAGGAAAGTCACACAAGTGTACTACTACGCATATGCAAGTAAAAGGGCAGATTGAATTCCGGAAATAGGCCTAGCGGGAGTATACCTGCATGGTTTGCACCATAAACTCTGTTGGTCTAGCCCGAACAATGCCCGACACTTCTTTGGAGTATTTGCATCTGTTAGCATGAAGTAAACAAAAACAACAAATGGAGGAGATTGCTCACTGGATGTGTCATCTCAGCCAGAGCTAGTGGTTTCGCTGGACGTCGAGTTTGGCATTTTCCCCTCGTTACCTTTGAGCCCAAAAGCTCGGACGCTGCCCGGCAATAGTCGATGCGAGGCAGCGTGCGTTAAAGCATCCCCGGTTCAGATCACGGGGTGGGAGGGGGGGAGAGTATATATATGTATATATATATATATATATGTAAAAAAAACACACACACACTCGCACACACGCGCACACACGCCACCGCCGGGAAGCGAGAGCAAGAAGGGGAAAGTGCCAAATCACGTCAGCTTGAAACCAGCCGTAGCAAACCTGGGTAAACTATACACACCTGCACGGACCGCACCAGTTATTCTGTTGATCAAGGCCAAAACGCGCTCGACATTTCTTAGGAGCGCTCAAATCTGAACAAATTGGAAGGAAGCGAGCAGAGGAGACAGAAAAGGAAGGAGAGACAAGAAAAACAAAAAGCAATAAATCAATTTATCTCGTGATAAACTAGTGATCAGTGATTGATTGCCCCCTCTCTCATTCCACAAATCGTTTTTTTAAAAAAATATATAGGGAAAAAAAATTAAGAATCCAATGAAGGCACCAATTGTGTGTGTTTTGGGGGTTTTTATTTTTTTTCGGCAGCGATTCCAAAGAGAGAGAAAGAAAATCTGTATTGTTTAAAGAGTTGATTTTTTTTTTGGGGGGTGGGGGGGGGGTGGGGGGTGGGGTGGGGAAATTAGAATAATTCATATGGTGAAAAAAAACAGCGAGTGGATAAAGTAACCTGCAGATTAGTAGTGGCAGTGGAGAGGGTTAGGTGTCAATCAGTTTAAAAATAAAAGGATTAAAGCACTGGGTTTGCAGACAGGGCAAATAGAGAGGGGGGGGGGGGGGGTGGGAAGGAGTGGGAGGGGGTGAGAATGGGTCAACTAGATAGGCATGCTGAGGGCAAAGTCAAGGAGGATACCAGGGATGGAATTAGCAATAATCAGTAATTATTGAAGTTGGGGGATGCATCAGAAAATGGGTACAGCCCAGATTAACACGTCAACGCGAGGCAAACAAGCTTACTCTACCGCAAGGCTCTACAAATGTCTTTCAAAAGTTACGACGGCTTTACGCAATAATAATCATCATTATTATTATTACAATTTTTTTTTTTAAAAAAAGTCCATAAACATCAAGCATTGAAATGTGTCTAAGTCATGCACTGATTACTTTACTGCTCTCGGAAAGGCAAGCCAAGCCAATGTAAATTAAACTCGCGTCTAGTATTTTAACTAACTGTTTTGTTATCGTATTTGTTAACGGGGATTAGAAGCAGCTTGGGTTTCATCTGGTCTAAATGAAGTTGTTTGATATGTGAAGGTACCCTCCACACTATGCAGGAGAATTTTCTCCTACTTACCATTGGTCTCCCCTTGTTGCTTTTCCCTTTTCCTCTTCTTCCTCTTGCCCTGTTGAGGAGAGAACAGGAAAACGCACTCAAGTTTCCCCTCAAGTCAGTTCCACATTGCGCAACCGACAAGCATCTCCAATCAACACAAACCCGCTGTCTGATCAACACTGAAAAACCCAACGAGCTGTGTAAAGGAGACCCCGGTGATGGTCACATTCTTGGGCAAAGTCACCCACCATCTGGTATAGCAGGAAACCACGCATTAAACTGGTGAAACTTGCTGGCTAAGCTCACGTACACTGGCCACATTGGGTTAGATACTCAAGTACTGTGGGCAGTCATGGTACTTTGCTCTAGTAATAGTCCATGGCTTCAGGGGAGAAGAAAATTGGTTCCTCCTCAAAAGACAACATTAAGCTGACATTTCCAGGTTGTACCCACATGTAGAGGGGGCAGAGAGCGAGAGAAATAAGGGAAGTACGGTGAGAGAATTAGAATATAAGAAATGCTGGGCGCAAAAAAGACCAAGGTTCATCGAAAAACAAAAACAGAAGTGGCCGGGAACACTCAGCAGGTCAGGCAGCATCTATGGAGAGAGGAAAGTGAGTCAACGTTTCGGGTCCACGACCTTCCATCTTCCTGGCGGTCGTGTGCACACATGTCCCGAACTACCCATGTACCGTATCCCACAGTGTGATTTCCTAAAAGATAAGAGCGTAAGAAAGAACATAAAAATTGACTTACGTAGTTATCTCGTGCTGACCAGCCTGGGTACAATTGCATATGAAGCTGCCTTTCCTTCCTGGCCAACTCATAGTACTTTGCTTGTTCTTCTCTAGACAAAGCATGCCACTGAGAGGAAACAGGTTAGGGTGGAGAGAAACAGAACAGAACAGACTAATTAAAACCACACGGCTGCTCAGAAAAAACGCCCAAGAGGGCGAATGCATAAGTCAAGCACCAGGCATTGATCCCAGAACACAGCGAAAACCATCAATGTTAACGCACTTCACAGCATCTGTTTCTCTTCAATCTTTTTGTAAAAAAAAAAACAGCACCTTGACTTATATGTGGAGGTGGCTGTGTGGTCTAGTGGGGACAAGGGTTTACAATTATTAAACTATAAAGAGTAAGGGTCTGCAAACAACCTAAAATCTCCCCATACTTAAAACTAAAACTGCTGCACCCTCAGTGGGAATCATACCGTGTCCCGTTGGTGTGCGTGAACTTTGCAAAACCAAACCTCTGGCCGTTGACCGTTAAATCGGCACGTTAAAAGGTGTGCGTTATCTCGGACAAGATAACTTGCTCTCGCCTGTCCGGTTTCTCCACCAAACACACACACACACACAGAATCACACACAATTCACCCAGTTTAAAATCAAATCAGCCACCTGTCTCTGCTGTATCTGCCTGGATAAAGCCAGTACAATTAGCTCCCAAATTAGATACACATTCCTGGTAATAGGAGCGAACACTTATACCAAATGCAAGGATTATTATTATTATTTTGTTTGTCTTCAAGAAGCACTGGATTGCCGCAGTAAAATCCTGCACAGAAACTCCCGAGACGTTTTGACGACGGGATTCAAGATGCAAGGATTCATTGATCATCGGCTGAAGTCGGGCGGCAACCGATTGATTGCAAAACGATTCCAAAGACAAAAATCAGCAAGAACTGGATTCCTAGATTTATAATCCTTGCATTTGATTTTGCGCCTCATCGGGTCTTCGAGACGTCTCAAAGCGCTTCACAGCATACACCGCAAAGTGAATCCACCGTATATTTTGTGGGCGAACCGTGGCAGCCAATTGCGCACAGCGGCGTCCCCACAAAGTCGTGGATCGAGTGGCCAAATTATAATTTTTTTTTAATCCTCCCTAACTATCCAACCTCCTTACCCCACAACCCACAAACCGCTGCCTCTGATCGGCTGGCTCTGGCCTTCCGTTTGTCCCTACGCTCCACCATCAGTGGCCGTGCCTTCAGCCACCGCACCCCGAAGCTCTGGAACTCTCTCCCTCAATCCCTCCGTCTTGCCCCCTCCCTCCCCACCTTCAAATCCCGCCTAAAGACGTTTGTTTTTTCGATCGTGCTTACGGTCACCTCCCTCCCTCCCTCCCTCTCCCCCTTGGCTCGGGGTCAGACTCCGCCACTGTCAAGCGCTCGGGGACACTACCCCACGTGAAGGGCGCTGTGTAAATACAAGTTGTTGTTGTGGTAAGTTCAGATTCATCTCAGACAACTGCTTACCCTTCGACCAAGGATCTGATTGATCGCTGCACTCTCTTTCAGTGTGCACTCAGCAACCACTTTCGCTCTCATTTCCTTCATGTACAACATGAATGCATTCAGAGGCTTCTTTATGTGCGGTTTTTTCTTTTCCTCTTCTTTTTTGGCGTCCTGATGATGTTTTCTGGATAAAAGAATGGGGAGGTGGGGGAGGGGAGTAGGGAGGAGGAAAGATTTTGGGGTTGGGGTTTAAAAGAAAAAGCTTTCAGCTTCGCAACTTAAAACCAAGTTAGGAGAGGGAGTGCTGCTTCTCTTCTGAATGAAAAAGTGCACACAGTTTATTACAGTTCATGCAATGAAATGAAGGCATCGAATGATCTGAGCTTTTTTTGTTTTTAAGCCCTTTTAACGTTCTCCTAATCAGACTTCACGCATCAGCGCTTTAAGAGACGTCCTCCCGACGTGAAACGAAAGGCGCTATTACCAAACACGGAGATCACTCAGCGCTGTTCGGTCACTAAACCGCTGAATTATTGTTTCAAACGCCTGAAAGAACCAAAACGGCAAATAAGGCGATTGGAACGCCACTTTTGAAGTCGGAAAACGACGGCAGATTAAAGCGAGGTTTGATACGTTGGAATATAAAAACGAGCGCTTTGCAGAATTGTAAAAGACTCGGACTTACGAGTTGTTGAGGGAGCCGATGTCACTCTGGGAAGACTCTTGTTTGACGCTGGGGGTAACGATGGCGGGATGGGGGATTCCTGTTGTGTGTAAACTGTGATGTGGCGGCACCATGTGTGGGGGAAACCTACCAGAGAGAAAACTGGGTAAATCGACAGAACAAAAAAAAAATCAATGAAAAGGAAAGATGAGCAAACATTTGATAAAAAAACAATCCAACAGACATGCAGAGAATCGCCACGCGTGATTAACAAACATAAAATTACACAATGACAGTCTTGCGTTTACATGACCGCCGACAGTGAAACCCAAATACCCATTACAATTGAAATACTGATCGTACTTTACTATTACAAAACTCCCCCCCCCCGATCCCCCCGACCCCATTAGAGACGACACCCCAACCCACTACTGTTTACAAACAAGTTTTAAAACGGCAATAGTAATTCTGATTTGAACAGTTAGATGACACTTATACAATATGTAACAAGGATATATTTTGTCCAGCTCCGATTCTATTCTCGATTAAATCAGAATTTCAGGCATTACTGAAACGGATTACATTTGTGGCAATACATTACGAGTCATTGTCAGAACATCAGCAGTCAAGTGCTATTAATACAACAATGATAAATAAACAACACTACTTTACGCTAACATAGTAAAAGTAGTAAAAGGTCTATAATAGCGAACATTTGAGATCTGCCACTTGCTCAATTGCAGCACGTGTGTGTGTGTGTGTGTGTGTGTGTGGAGCTTGCTACTACGTTAGCTGGCGGGTGTTGTGTTTTTGCTGGAGTGAAATATTAGCACTGTAAGCGTTGAAAATAACATTTGTAGATACAAACGGAACACAAGACGGGACACAGGTGAAGTATTTTACAGCACACGAGTGCTTTCAAAAACCTCAAGAGTATTATTCTTCATGTGATGAAGTGCTTGCATTCATTTCATTACCTGAAGAGACTTATGAGGGGGTTCAGGAGTTAATGGGCACCGAAAAATGTCAATCTATCATAAGGTGATTACACTCGCACTGCAAAACAGTTGAAATTTGGTTGCCACGTTTCCATTATTCAACAGACATTTGCCGTGAAGTAACTGAAAACAGGGAACGGGCGGCACAGGAATCCTGTTGTAAAAGCTGAAGAATTCTAAACAGCTAATTATGTGTGTGTGTGGGGGGGGTGGGGGGTGGTGGGGGAGAGAGAGAGAGAGAGAGAAAAATCTCGACTGTCTTTTTGGCTGCAAGCCAGAATATAATGATGTGCGCAAACTTGCAGGCCATGTTACGAACAAACTCATTTTTTGTTCCACAGAGTCTCTGGGGCTTCTATCACATTCACTCTCACTTTACTTCACTGTTGACATGTTTTTGTTAACTGCATGTCATCTGCCTGCTTTTGTTTTATGTGCGAGCCGGTGGGATACTTTTTCTCCCCTCTCTCTCTCTCTCTCTCTCTTTCCCCCTTGAAAAACACACACACACACAGCCTCTTTCTTTTGAGTTGCAGCTAGTTTGTCATTATTCTCCCTCCTTTCCCTGTGCAGCTGTTACGTCTCATCTTTTCCGAGCTCGTTTTTTTTCTCCCTGAGCTTTCTGAACCGCCACAAACCCACATTATGGTTTAAACATGATGCCGAGCTCTTTGAAGACGGCGGATTTGAGATTGTGCCCGAGTCACGAGAAGCACCTTCAGCCAATTTACTAGGCTGAGGGGCCCTGAAGCTCTAACATCTCAATCTAACAGGGTCACAGTGTGGCACAAGTGAGTGTCAGCTATCGCTGTTTAATTGCCAGTCTATGCCTCTCGCTGTGTTTAAAGTATAATGACCCATCACTTAATTCCAAGGAATCACTGCCCGACTGTTGGATGGAATGAATATCAAAAGGTGTGCTCTGGCAGGGCATGGAGTCTACATTTCCTCTGGATGTCAAAAGTAGAACACAGACGTGTATTTCCGTCACCCCCACCGCCAGCACACACGCCTTTTGTTCTATGTATATTTTCATTCAAATCACTAATATGCCCTCCCTCCAGGAGAATCCGTTCCAAGAATTGCTTAAGCTGTTTTAATGATCGGCTTCACAAGTGTACAAACTGTGTTCTCTTTCTTCACATTCCCTCTTGCTCTCCCCGCAGCCCCCCCCCCCACCCCCACCTCTTCCTCCCCTTCCAACCTCTCTTTCCAAAGTCTATTTGGCATTGAACAAAAACACCAAACGATGGAACTACAAACTAAGAACAACACTCTGTGTCTTTTGTAATACAATTATCAACAAAAAGAAGCATAATCCTGGTGTTTGATCACGTCTTCGAGACGTCTCAAAGCGCTTCGCAGGATACACTGTAAAGTGAACCGACTGTATATGTTGTGGGCGCAACACGGCAGTCAATTGCGTACGACAGTGTCCCACAAACAGCACGGATATGGTGACCAAATTATTAATTTTTTTTCCTTTAACGTTTACTATTCGGCTATACAATTGCTGCTGTTATTCTGATTGATCCCTGGAAATGTTGCAAGGATTGTTGTTGTGTGTGTGGCTTTTTTTTAAACAAAAAAGAGAGGAAAATGGTTAAATTGTCCTGCTCACAGCTAAAGCAGTGTTTGTACAAATGGAAAGACTTAGTCTCTGGAGATTGGGAGCCTTGCCTAATAATCTATGCTAATTTAATTAACAGCTATCATCAAAATGCATTAGCTGTTTCAGCCCATTAGGAAAGTCTAACCCTTCACCAATTAAATGAGATGAACTCTAAATCAGATGAACAGAAAATAAACCCATCATTAGCAGCAATTAGTGATTGCTTAAATACAGTACTATGGAGTAGTTTGTAAATACAGTAGACTCCTAGCCAATGGCACATGAGCGAGTACTCTATTAATTGGGGCTCGTGACGTACAGTCAAAGCTCCTATAAAAATAGCATCCTTCAGAATCCCGAGCCTCAGCCTACACCAGTTTTGATGTGGCATCATTACTGGCTTTTGCTATTGGCTTTCTACCTCTGTAGGCATTATGCATGCATACGCCATTGATTATGTTCAGAGGAACACGACTGGCTTCGAGGGGTCATGTTCAAATGCTGGGAACACGAACGCACAGATATTCTGTTCAGGGTGGCATGCTACTTGTGCCAGCTCAGCTAAGACTGGAGAGAGCTTTGCCACATTCTCCCCGCGCTGCTTTACTTTTGGAAAGACGGAACTCATCCGATAAAGTGTCTGCTCCCTCTCATACGTCAACTGGCACAAAGGTCTTACAGGGGAAAGTAAAATAAATGATTATTATTATACCAGGGGTTGGCTCTTAAACGCCTGATCTGAGAGATGTTATCCTGCCTCTCTGTGGGAGACTGCTGTGCGCAAATTGGCTGCTGTGTTTGCCTACAAAATGTACAGTCACTACTCTTTACAGTGTATCCTGCGAAACGCTTTGGAGACAGCCTTCTGAGGGGAAGAGTATATGATGTATAAATATAATAATTATTTTATTTAGGAGCATAGAAACAGGAGGAGGCCATTCAGCCTGATCTGTACGTCAAGTCCAATTACCAGCCCTCGCCCCGTACCCTGAAACCCTGACCTAACAACTTGGTAACCTGATCTGGCCACCTCAGTCTTGAAAATGTGAATGGATCCAGCATCCACAGACTTTTGGGGGAGAGAGTTCCAGATTCCCACTGCCCTTTGGGTGAAAAACTGCCTCCTGATTTCACTTCTTGATTTTGATTCAGGCTCTTAACCTTCCTTGAGGGGTATTCCTGACTACAAAGCACCATGGAGATTGGGGGTGGTGGGAAGAGAGAAAGAAGAGACAGCAAATAGAACTGATCAATAGAGACCAGCCACCTGTTGGGGAAAGATTCATATACAGTCCATTGCCACATGCCTCTCTCTCTATTTTAGGCGATGATATCTGTGGCATTGGGGGATCCTATGAATGAGGATCGGGGGAAAAACAATGCAGATTCTTTTACCGACAGATGTTTAAATAATGATCACTTGTCACCGTGGGAGGCCTGGCTGCTGATGGCATTGCACACATTTGGACACTCAATTCCAAATTTAGAGAAAATCGCTGGCTCTGCTGCACTAAAACACAAGTGTGTGTGTTCACCTTTGGTTCATTCGGTTGCCTCCTGACAAACACACTGGATGAATAATGGAAACAGGACCATTTGCTGCCTCAAGTCGAGATTGGTAACACACTGCAGAGCAAGTACCAGAACCCTACCAATCTGTAGCAGAGTTCCCCAGATATCCTAATTATAGTAATAATAATCCCTGCATTTGATATAGCGCTCTATCACGTCTTCTCGACGTCTCAAAGCGCTTCACAGAATAGACTGTAAAGTGAATTCACCGTATATTTGTGGGCGAAATGCGGCAGCCAATTGCACACAGCAGCGTCCCACAAACAGTCATGGATTATACACATGACATGAAATCAGGCTATTCGTTTACAATAAGTAAGATGGCACAGAAACCGGCAATTGTCCCACAAACAGTTGTGGACTCAGTGACCAAATTATTATTATTATTTTTTACTATTACCCCTAGATAAGCGATCCTCGAATCTCAACTAACAACCGGGTTCCTATTTACTGCTAGTTGAACAGAGGCGTGTGGCGTAAGGTATCGCCCTGCCGGGGAATCGAGCCCAGGTCCTCTCGCTTGAGAGGCGAATGAGCTAACCACTGAGCTGCAGGACTCCACAACCCCTTCCCCTCCTAATTCCCTCTCCTGTATCCCTCTATTCCCTTCTCCCTCGTTCATCCATCAGGTTCTCTCTTAAACACTCTGGCGCTATTTGTTTGAATCACAGCTGATGACAGTGGCTTCCGCAGTCTCAACAGCCTCAAGAAATAACCGTATGAAAAAATAGCTTTGGATCAGAGCAAAATCCAAGCTTCTCATCACTTGCACTATAAGTGGTCAAGTAAAGTTAATATGAGATTCACACGGCTATGGTGACACGGTCTAATCATGGGAGGAAATATATATATTACCGTACAACACTACAAATCAGGATTAGATATATAAATTTAGCTGCTCTACAATGAAGTCCTTAAACTCTGGGCAGGCAAAGGCTCTAGATTCCATGTGTTAAACTGTAGGTTCAGTGGTACATTTCATTTGACTTTGACCGTTGGGTACCAGAGGTCGGGTTAAAATCTACGCTTCGTGTGAGAGAGCATCGGCTTGAAAGAAAGGCACAAGTGTGCCAGGGTTATGGACTCTCAAACTGCCAATTCCAATTGCCGTGCACACTCGGGCCCCTTTCATCACAAGATTGGACAGTCGCATGAACAGACTGTGATCTGACAGGTGACTTATCTTCCCTCCAGCTCCCAACTCTCTCTCTCTTCTCTGTCTCTCGAAAACCTCCTGTCTGCTAGAATCTCTCTCGTTGATCAATACTAAAACAGCCAAATGGACTAAACGCTCACTTTCTCCACACCTTTGTCTACTCTTATCTTATTCTTACTCGGGGCCCCCAGATATACTACCTCCTTCAATCTTTCTCGTCTCTTATTACACAAATCTCCCATTAAATTTTTACATTGTAACTTTGTGGCTCCCTTTAGAGTCATAGTTGGGCTTTAACCTCATCTATATCGTTCCTTTAACGGCCTCTAAGTGAATCCCAGGTAATACATGCAGAAAGTCACCAGAATAGATCTGGCTTGAAGCTCTCTGGGGGTTTAGCTCTGACACACCTGATGACTTCTGTAATTTGCCACCACGACTGATATATACTCTGTACGGAATAAGTGCTTTGCACTGCTCACCGACTCACTGCAAAGAATGAGTTCCAGGCCCCATAAAGTGAGATAACCAGGATCATTATTACCTTTTTGAGTGATGCGTTGGGGTGACCTTTCACCTGCGGTATAATAAGGAAGACTATTGCTCTGTGAACTGACTTAGCGTCACTCAAGTACTGATAAGTGACTACAGCCAAGGGTGTAATAGATTTACTGGGCTTTTCGGGCTGAAAGTAGTATAACATTGTCCCTCGGGCTATCAACCACATTTATATAAAGTGTAATATAATTATAGCATCCTCTCGACACTTCCAGATCCCTTGGGGGTAATGCAAGTCTGGAAAAGCAGTGAATTATTGTCCATGTTCTAAACGATGGCTTCTTCACCGGAATAGTGCTGTACAGGCTCGGATCCCAATTGATGCTACATTATTATTCCCACATTGTTCATTCACAAATGCTGACTGTAACACTTACTTGTGAACAACCATTGGGAGACAGGGTGTCTGCCTGTTTATGAAATCAATATATCAACGTCAATACATGGGCCTGGAGTTTGCTAATAACTGGTGCCTGCACAGGGCCAAACACTGAATAAAAAAGGGGCAAAATTATACCAAAAGCAAGGATTATTACGTGTACAATACAGGGTGACCAAAAAGTCATGATACCATTACAATGTCTAATAAATCTTAGAAAGAAATGATGAAGAAATGAAGTAATTATTAAAATAAATGGCATCACGACTTTTTTGGGTCACCCGGGACGATGCAAACTATTGAAAGGATGTTGGAAGACAATTTGCTTTCCAATCACTATTTCAATAAGCGTTCTGCCCACAAAATACGCAGTCACTGCATTTTAAGGTAGATTTCGTGAGGCACTTGGAGGCAGTCTCCTGACATGAAAGGCTCCTGACATCAACTGTAAGGATTATTATTATTATTATTTGTACTTCTTATTATAATTATTATTATTAAAAGGCTACCCACCTTGACATAGAAGCATTGACAGTGAGTGCTGTGGGGTACGGATGCCGAAATCCCCCTGTTGTGATTGGGTAAACAGGTTGACCTTGCCTGAAAGGAAGAAGAGAGGGGGCGAGAGAGAGAGAGGGAGGGAGAGAGAGATAGAGAGAGAGGGAAAGAGAGAGAGAGAGTGTGAGGGGGCGGAAAAAAAAAATTAGTCAAACGTTCTCTTGCTGTTGCATCTTATTCTCATTTGACCAGAACAAAAATTGTGTTGATTGTACAGTGAAGATCAAAGGATGTAAACAAAGAACAATTTTAATGTGCTAAATCTGATAGAACCAGCTAATTAAATTCCATCACCTCCACTAATGTCAACAGAGACCCTCATTCCAAGCTAAAACTAGGTGTTTTGTTGTGATAATTAAAGGCGAAACTCTATTTGCTTTAATGGAGCCGTCATAATAATTGAGGTCTACAGATCCAAAGGAAAACAATAATGAATGTAAATTTATACCAAAATAAAGTGCATCAAATCAAAGAGAGGCATTTCTGCTTCGGGCCTCTTTTGGTATTTAGAACTCAGTAAGAAAACATTAAATTAACAGTTCTTAATTTGTAGCCTTTTGTCACCGTAACCAGGGCTGACAGGAAGCGTCAAGGGACCGGTCTCGTGTGACTGTGTGTGTACCCGGTGGCCGATCACAGCTCATAACAATAATTGGACAATACAGTAACATGCCAGGCTGTGCGAAAATTAAAAGGAAAAAAAAAATGGAACTGCTTACTGTGGTACTAACCATCCTAGTGGGTGGGGAATTTGCCCAACGGTACCTGGCGATAGCGGGTAATAGGGCGAGATATCTGAAGGGTGCGGAGGCCTCGGAATTCCTGCACAAGGACAAGGCAAAGAAAAAGAAACGGGAGGGTTAACATTCACCAGCACCCGGCGCTTGGCAAAGTCGTTCGCATCTCCACGACGCAGGGTGACCGTAAAGTCGTGATAACTACCTCCCCCCCACCGTACATCTAAAAAAAACAAAACAAAAAACATTAAAAAAAAACGATCCATTTCTTTCAGACTTGTCGGACGGACCCTGGAATGGTATCACGACTTTTTTGGTCGCCCTGTCCTTAACCAGACTCGACGCCGTTGAAAGGCTACCAGGTTTTATCGGACCCCGGTCGGCCACAAGCCACCCCCACCCACCCACCCACCCACTCGTTTTCAATGGAAGTAGCTTTTTGAAAAAGATTCCGTTCCGAAAAACGACCTCCATCGGGCAGACCGGCGAGCGGAAACGATAACCTTAGCATTTGATCGAGGAGGCGACTTAGCTGTCGCACTTAAAAGGAGGACAGCGTTTGATGTGTGATGGACTAACAATGGCTCTTCAGGCCAATGCTCTCAAAGTTTGGTCCCCTCCTCCCACGTGCCCCCAATATTATTGAGCTGTTGTGGCTTCCTCCCCTCCACCCCGAACCCAACCAAAGAAAGTCGCCTCGCGTTCATCCCGCAGATTATCCTTCCCGTTTCAAGTTCGAAAGCGGAAAAATGTGGTCCGATTTATTCCAACACGTCAGTAAACTGAAACAAAAAGCGTGTTCTTCACATAGAGCTTTCGCAAAGTGCCTTGGAAACCATCAGTTGTTAGCTCCTGCTGTAAGAGAGCCAGATGCTTGGCGAGCTTTGTTCCAATAATTCTGCAATGGTAGCCCGAGTGCCTTTGTCATCGGGGCCACACGGCAGATAATGTGGCCCAAAATAGACACGTAATCAAGTCGTATTCAAGAGCTAATCTTAGGATTATTTCGCAGCTTTTCTGTACTGAAGTGTTGGGACATTGTACGTACATTGGATTTCAGAAAACAAGATCAATCATAACAGCAGTGTTTTTTTTATCCAGCAAATCAAGGTACCGCGTTTAGATTGTGTCCTGCAAAGCGCATTCGGGGTCGAAACGAGACGCCTGATTTGCAATAATCACAGGTTTCTAAAGTTCCTTTTTTTTTCCAAAAAAAAATGTCCTTGAATTTGCTTTCATATCTCAAGGGCCTCAACTGTTCTCACCGCTTGATTCCAGCTCTGTTCTTTGCTTAGGTAAAAGTCCTCGAACCCAACGCGCATAGAATCATAGAACATTACAGCACAGAAGGAGGCCATTCGGCCCATTGCGCCTGTGCCGGCTCTTTGGAAGAGCTGCCCAATCAGTCCCACTCCTCCGCTCTTTCCCCGTATTCTTGCAAGTTTTTCCTTTTCAAGTACCTATCCAACTCCCTTTTGCAATTTGTTATTGAATCCATTTCCACCAGCCTTTCAGGCAGAGCATTCCAGACCGTAACAGCTCTTGGGGTAAAAAAAAATTCTCCTTAACCTCCCCCCCCACCACCCATCTGGTTCTTCTGCCAATTATCTTAAATCTATGTTCCCTCGTTACCAACCCACCTACCAGCGGACACAGTTTAGCCCTATTTACTCTTATCAAAACCCCTCATCATTTTGAACACCTCTATTAAATCTCCCCTTAACCTTCTGCGCTCTAAGCAGAACGATTCCAGCTTCTCGAAGTCTCCCCACATAACCAAAGTCCCTCGTCCCTGGTACCATTCTGGTAAATCTCCTCCGCACCCTCTCCAAGGCTTTGATATCCTTTTCAAGAGCTGACACGTGACAATAACATTTCCCTCACAAACAAATCAACGGCCTTCTCTTGTGCGGCTCGACAATACTTAGCGGCACAATTTGTATGGCAGTAATGTTTACCTGGGTGCAGGCAGGGCAATCAAGGCCACATGAAGTCAGAACAAATGTTCAGAATTCAATTTGCGCAGCCTCTGTGTAGTGTTAATTATTGATATGAAAACAGCTAGGGCACTTATTTATCATACAGACAAAAAATGACTTCATTAATTGCTACTAACAAATGAGTCTACTCACCACCCCCGTCCCCCCCCACCACACACACACGCACACACGCACACGCACACACACTCGCTGCACTTACACAACACACACAGAACAGCTCGCCTAATTGAAGCTTCAATTGTCTCCTCGCACAAGGCATCTTTTTCAACCCTAATGTCCAGAGATAAAGATTTCTCTTCAAATGTTCTCAGGCCGAAGCCGAACGGGGGAAAGGGGAAAAGAGCAAGGGAGAGCAGAGCGCGAGAGAGCGAGAGAGAAAGTGAGGGGAAAAAAAGAACAGTAGAGGAATCCGAGTGGAAAAAAACCCACACAAATAAATGCCCCAGGGGAACAAAATTAAAAAAACACTGTGCTTGAGCTAAGTACCGGAGACTTTGAAGGACGATTTTAACTAGATTGCTCCCTGATGGCTCAGAGGCTAAATGCAATTCGTCCTTCAGACCAGACGTTAAACCCGCGGTTCCGTCTGCCTGTTCAGGTGGACGTTAAAAGATCCCAAGGGACAATTTGAAAAGAGAAGGGAGTTTCGAAGACGTGATAAGGCGCTTTATCAAATGCAAGGATTATTATTATTACTATTATTAAAGGAGGCACCTCAGAGACAAAGTTGTCAGGCAACAGACCTGAATTCCTGGGCACTGCAAATACAGAAGATGTCACAGATACACTCACACACACAGACACACACACACACACAGTCGCCCACAAGTGTCCAAAATCTACCATCTTTTCAAATGAGGCTGAATTGACCAGGCGCTTATATCCAGGCACTTCTGTTGTCATTTAAAAATGTAACACAGAACGATAAGAGATATAAGAAGAAATATTTCACTGCTATAAAATGACCCTCGAATTGTCCCCAAGGGTAGAGGTGAAAATCTTGACACGGATTTCCCGGGGTTAGGAATGGTTCACCCCGTGCAGCACCCAAACTAGTTTTCATAACGCGTCAAATTCTGCCCTGGAGGGACTTGGAAAAGACCTGAAAGAGTTTGACGAAAGCAAGAAGTGATATTTGGAATGTCTTTGTGAAGGAGAGAGCAGAGCAGAGCGTGAAAAAAAAAGATCCATCTCACCTCGTCCAACTCCTCAAACTCAAGGCTCTCGTGAACTCCTTCAGCCTCCACCGTTGCAACAATTTCACAGAAGCAGATTTACGAAGCAACACTGTCGTTTGTCACCATGGCTCACAGAAGCCACTCCCGTGAGGTTTAGTTAGCGTCCCGCAGGTGGGTGAACGAGCCTGTTACCGTTACGGGTTAAATTTGGTAACGGGCAGCCTGGTACTTGTTCAGCCTGGACTGCCCGAACGACCGAAGCTTCGGTTTGCACAGCCTGCCCAGAGTTGACGTGGACCTGACTGCCCTGGTACGTCTCGTCAAAACACTTCAAATAGACTGGACGTACCTCACTCCCTCAAACATCTCATTTTTAACCCCATTGAACTCATTTGAAGGCTGATATTTTAACAGCCTTGATATGGTGGACAGATATTTGTGAGGTCAGGATATCAAAGGATATGGGGCAAATAGTGGGCAATTGGGAGTTGAGGTACAGATCAGCAATTGATCTTATTGAACGGAGGAACAGGCTCGAGGGGCTGAATGGCTAGAACCATCTCCTCAGCCAAGCCAAACCTGGGCAGATGACCAGATGCAAGGCTACAGGGAGCCGCCCCTTGGCGATCTCCAACCCTGTCCACCATGTAGATCACATCAACTTGTGGCAACCTCCCAAGTAACTCGTGCTGGGGGTTGCCCTTGGCGGCAAGAGAAAAAAAAAATCTTCAAGCCAAAAGCAGCCCAGGGCTTGTGGGAACATGGAATACCATGCATTTTGGCCCAAAATCACAGCATGTTTACAGCACCCGTAGAACATCATTTAGGCATCGCGTAGCACCCAGTATATATGAACTGAAAAAGAAATGTAATCTCAAGGTTCTGCGCTCTGTGCAAAAGTGCGACTGGCGTCCTCGGGTAAAATTTGGACGCGAGTTCAAATAGCTGATCGCCCCCACCGCCCCCCCCTCCACCCTCCACCACCCCACGTCCCAGGGTTTTACAAACTGGACCCAAACATACACCCAGTGCGGGAGGTGGGGAAACATTACAACCACAGCAGGTCAGCAGGTCGTCAAACGAACCTTCTGCTTTGCAAGCGACGCTGTGGAGATTCCATTCAGTTCATAAAACTTTGGGACAGGGCACGAGGGACCGAGGAATATATATGACGAGGGTATTATTTTTGTAAGGCGGGTTGACGTGGCAGCATACATGCGTACCCCCTCTCCCTCCCTCGGCCCCCCTTTTAGGCTGGAAAGCAATTTACCCCCCAGCAAACTGGCAAAGCGAGATTACATTTCGATTCGAAACACTCGACTACAATGCACAAGAACGACACGACACGATACGACGTACATTCATGGTAAACGAAAAAAGGAAAGAAATTCAAACAGTGTAATCCCAATGCAGACATGGATTGCCCCTAGTGCTTCCTGAGTAAAGAAACGCTCAGAAGGGTTTCTGAAAAACGTTCCGATCCATTAAAAAAAAACAAGTGGGATCGGTATCAGAGAAGACTGCTTGCCCCTTTACCTACCTGTTTTGGGGTCCACGTCTGCCGGCAAGTGTGGTGGAGGGTTACCTGGTGTGAAGTGTTCATTGCTGTACGTGATCAGCGGTGTGAGCGGATGTACATGGTGAGGGTGTTGCACAACTGGTACTTTGTTAGACTGTCAGAAAGAGAGAAACAGGGACAGAGAGAGAAAAAAAAATAAAACACAGCTCACAAACAATAGTGACCAATATCCCAGCCAACCGTGACTTAAGACTAATGATATCGAGCGAGAAGGAGGGAGAAGGAGGGAGAGAGAGAGAGGAGAGAAACTTAGAAACAGGAGGAGGCCATTCGGCCCCTCAAGCCACTTCCGCCATTCTATAAGATCATGGCTGATCTGTATCTCAACTCTGGTTACCTGCCCTTGCCCCATTTCCCTTGATATCCTAACTTAACAAATATTTATCCATCTCAGTTTAGAAAGAGAGGAGAGAGAGAGAGAGAAAGAGAGAGAAAGAGAGAGAGAGAGAGAAAAGGGGGTGGGAATCTCAAAAGGCTTTTGCTAAACCCTTCGACAAGGGACATTTAAACTGATTGAGTGCTGTCAAAGATTAAAAGACCTGCATTAGATGATGAATGGTTTCAAGTCGGCTTTTATTTCGAGGGACGTCTTCATCTCCCCCTCTCTCGGTGCAATTTTTTTTCTCTCTTTTTTACAAAGATTCACAATAAAAAGACGAGCTATTTGAATCACAATCTTACAAGGCCAGACAAGTCTGTTTCTGTCCATCAATCGGGTTTTCATTACTTAGCACGAGGCAGTATTTACCATTCGTCCTTAACATCAGGTCCGCGTATTAAATATGAACCATTTCACACCACAGAACGAAAAGTGTACAAATAGGTCACCTACAAAAGCAACAATAGCCGTATCGACAAAAAGAGGCCTCAAGTAACAATGAGAAGCATCATTGGCCCTTTTTCGGAAGGAATTCGGGTTTTGTCCTCAGCAGTTAGCCATCAGTCGGGAAGGTTAGTTAGTTAGTTATGCTCACAAAATACACAGTCTCTACACCTTAGAGTATATTCTGTGAAGCGCTTTGGGGCGTCTCGGAAGACGTAACAAAGTGCTGAATCAAATGCAAGGATTGTTATCGTTATTATAACATCCTTCACAAATTTTATGGACTCCGCTCTGCAGCTTCTCTGTGACACTCTGTGATCGGCCCCCGCCCGCCACCATCATCCCACAAACCAATTTCGAACACAAGCGATTTGCGCGAAGAGCCTCTTCGGACGTTCTGCTGGTGCAAGAAAAGTTCCGGGACTGAACCTCACAGCTCCCTGACAGAGAAGGCTGTGAGCCAGCCCCGTGTTCGAGACGAGATGGCTATTCCCCTCCTCCCCGTTACACACACGAGTGGGGCCCTGCTGTGCGCCATTGGCCGCCGCGTTGTGCCCACGAGCTATCCAGTCAACTCACTTTACAGTATATTTTCCGTGAAGCGCTTTGAGACGTCACCAAGACGTGATACGGCGTTAGATCCAATGCAAGGATTGTTATTATCAGTTGGAGAAAGTTTAGCCACTTACTAACTTGGAAAACACAGCGTATCCTCTGTGTTTCATCGCAAAACAAAAGTGGTAGTAGGTACAGTGTCAATGAGGTCCCCAGTCCTGTTAAATCTTGTGCCTTAGGAGTCTATAGGGTGACCTTTATGACCCTTTCACCTGCTTCACACTGCTTCTACTGTGCTCAGTGTTTTTCTTGCCTAATTTTGTTTTGCAAAAAAAATGTTTGAATGCAATGTGAACATTGCATTTTTTGAAATAAAACACCATCGCCAAGAACAGAGGTGCACAGTACGTTAGTCTTAAGGTACTAATTCCACAACGGGAGCCCTGCTGACATTAATGAACTGAGGAGCATTTTATGATGTGAACGGAACAGCTTGATTGAATTACTGCCATACAGAATTTATAAATTACAAACATACACACACAAAAACCCTAGGCCTAATTTTTTCCTGCAACCGTAAACGAATCGTGAAATTCAAATCATTTGAAGGGACTGGAGAGAAGATAAGACTAAAGGAAACGGAGGAAGTTGCAAAAAGAAACTAAATGGGGTTGTTGTTTCGTAAAGGTATAGAGTCAGTGCCATCAACTTAGACAAAATTGAAAATATAAACAGTCTCGCATTGGGTGGAAAAATAAAGTTTGCTCTCTTACTCTCCCCCCCCCCCCCCCACCTCTCACCCCACCACCTGCCCACCAAAGGAATATTGCAAATTTATGGCATGGAATACTTGCCTCCTGTTTTAATCCTATACAACACAATGTCAGCAGAATGTCAGAGGACAATAATAATAATAATACTTGCGTTGGATATAGCGCCATATTATCACACTGTTGAGAGACATCTCAAAGCGCTTCACAGAATACACTGTAAAGTGAATTGACTGTATAGTCTGTGGGCGAAATAAGCTGAGATCTGCCCACATGCTGAAAGCCACAAAAGATCGCGATAGCCCAAGGGGTTAACTTCCCCCAATGCTAAATGATCCGTTCTCCCCCAACCCAACCCCTTCCCCAAGCGAAAAAAACAAATCTGATCTGCTCGCCATTGAGACAAAGGAGGGGCAAAACCTTGAACTTTAGTCCCTCAACCTCCCTCCTGTGAGTTGTTGGTCAAGAACGAATTTGCTCCAGACTCCAGCAAGCAAACAGCAGGAGTCTCCAGCCAGTTATTTACTGTCTACTGTCTCTCCTGCTTCTAATTGGCGCCTGCCATTGTAATAATGAGTTTACATGAGACATGGACAATACAGAGTAGGACATGATTCAGTCCCTCTGCCCTCCTCCCTCCCCCACCCCCAGAAAGGTTTCCATAAACAAGCTCAGAGCACGAACAACAAATGTTTTTTTTTGAGAGGAATCGAGGGGTTGGGGGGGGGGGGGGGAGGGAGGGGGAGGAGAGAAAAAAAAAAACGTCCCCAAAAAAACAATGCGACTTTGTTTCACAGGCCCTCTGATCTCGCGGCATTCTTCCCGTCAGAAACCGACAACGTGTTGTTCCATTATGCAAAGTGATAAATATTTCATCCAGGCTGCGAGTCGAGAGAGAAAAAAAATCACTTCACTTTAATAAGCGCATACGTCAACGCATGGGAGGAAACCGGGACCAATGGCGACCTGAGTACGAACAAAGCCCCTTCGCTCTTGTGCACCGGTTTCAATTCAGCTCAAAGAGTTCCAACGGTCACTATGGGGTGAAAGATCTCACAGGATGACAAGCGCCTCAGTTTTTCCAGCCCTTTTTCTGGACCCGAAATTCTGCTTTAACGAGAGAGACTCGTTCTGTTCTCACCTCGAACAACTGTTGAGTGATAAGAGGTATATCTCAACCGCAACAATTGTTCTTATTATTAGTATTGAGACAGGAGTTGTTGATGTGAACCCCGAGTGACGAGTAGGAAATCCTGTCTGTCACAGGAAGTGCCGTAGAGACCTTTCCTCTATCTCTCCGCTTTGCCCCTTCCCTTCCCCTTCCCCTGCGAAGGGGCGCTGTGTAAATGCAAGCTGTTGGTGTTGCTGCTCTGACACATCAGGAAGTAGGTCGTGATATTAACAACACATTATAAATAGTCACACACACGCCACACACACACATGCGCGTGTGCGCCAATTGTAAGAGCAACGCTTGCAATAAGACGAACGCAACCAACTCGAGCATCAAGTTACGTCAACAAGAAAGGGCAAGACAGAGGCTCTCCTGCTTGGCTCCCGTCCGTCAGTGTCTGCTCACTGCAGGCGCTCCCATCATCAAACAACTTGGATGCACAGTCCACCTCATGGAGCTTGTACGAAACCTCAGTGTCTTGTTCGACTGTTTCCACCCGTGCCCTGACCCGCTCAAGCTTTCCCCCCACCACCGGAACATTGCCTGCCTTTGCCACGACCTCCACCCTCAGGCTGGCAAAAACCCTATTCCAGGCATTCATCACGTCCTGCGTTCGATACAGCGCCTTATCACGTTGTCGAGACATCTCAAAGCTCTTCGCAGAATATACTATAAAGTGGATCGACTGTATATTTTGCGGGCGAAATGCGACAGCCAAAAGCCCACAGCAGTCAGTGGATTGAGTGAGTGATCAAATTATTATTATTTTGAAAGGGATTATGAGCCCCAGAAAGCAATCCGCCAATCAACTGACAACGCTTGATTAACATGGTGTTAATATGGATTAACGCTTTGTTAATCATGTTGAAATGACTTTACAGACAGGTCAAGCAACACAAGCAAATAACTGGCTTTGCACCCGTACGTCTTGGGAAATTGACTGGTGATCCCAAGCTAATTCCCTAACAATAATCCGTAGCAGAAGCAAGACTGCACTGGCTTTCATTTGTCCTCGTAGGCCAGGTAATAAAGGATTCAGGTGCTACAGGGGCCCTGTAGAACACGTTGAAGGAGGATTAGGTAAGCTCCAGTCACAATGCGCCAATACAATGGAGGGCTTCGGGTTACAGCAACCGTGTGAATGAAGCCCGAGTATGAAAGGCAGAATACAAGCGAGTAACTGAAACTGGGAAGACGTTTGAGTGAATAGCAAACACCATGAAATATGGAGCTAGATTATGGCCTGGAGCACATTTAAGCCAATGCCCATGCATTCCTCAGCCTGTGCGTCACAGCGATGGAGAGACAGAGAGATTTGACCTTTCTTCGTTGTGCCTGGAATCCTGGGAGGTTTTTTTGTTTTAGTTTTTAATGTAGGAAATAAGTAAAACAGAAGCAAGGTCCTGAATTTACAAAGAAGTCCTGTAGCTCAGTGTTTAGAGCCCCCGCCTCGCAAGAGAGAGGACCCGGGTTTGATTCCCGGGGCAGGACGAAACGTTGGGCAAGTTTCCTTACTCCACACGCCTCTGCTTAACCAGCAGTAAGTAGGAACCCGGTTGTTAGTTGATTGGCGGATCGCTTTCCTGGGGCTAATAATCCCTTCTAAATAAATAACTAATAATTTGGTCACTCAATCCACGACTGTCTGTGGGACGCTGCTGTGCGCAATTGGCTGTTGCGTTTCGCTCACAAAATGTACAATCCATTCACTTTCCAGTATATTCTGTGAAGCGCTTTGAGACGTCTCGAAGACGTGATAAGGCTCAACATCA